GTGAGATTTGAACCGCTGACCTGCTGATCTAGCAGTAGCCTGCAGTGCTGCATTTAACCACTGCGCCACCTTGGCTCTTCTTCATCTTCGTGAAATGCCCTCAGGACTTTCACAAACACAAAGCCCTTGGAACAGGTAGTCCTCGACTTACAACAGTTCATTTTGCGACCGTTCAAGGCTACAATGGCACTGAAAAAGAGGGACTTGGGATCTTTTTTCACGTTGATATAATGATGACCCTTGCCGCATCCCCGGGATCGCCTTTTGTAACCTTCTAAACAAGCCAAGTCGATGGGGAAGCCGGATTCACTTAACAACCATGCGACAGGGGGTCCCCAAACTTGGCCACTTGAAGACTTGTGGACTTCAACTCCCAGAATTCTCCAGCCAGTCCCCAAGTCTTCAGGTGGCCAAGTTTGAAGACCTCTGGACTAAGGTAACCACTGTGGCGATCCGCTTAACAACGGTGGCGAGAAAGATCGTAAAACGGGGCGAATAGAAAAGTTTGGGGACGTGGTGGTCGTAAGTCGAGGACTACATGCAATTCCACAACCGCATCAGGACGCCCCACGCGCATGCGCAGAAGCGTCGTGGTTGCTGGCCCTCAAGAGATAGACTGTCTCCGAGCCTGGAGGTTCTATTTTTTTCCTATGCATCCCCTTTCCCCCGTTTCGGAAGCAAGGCTCTCCCGGCCTCCCTGGGGGCCTCGCCGGGCCTTACCCCAAGTGCCGCAGCTCCGAGACCCGCTCCTCCAGCCAGTCCCCGAGGTCTCGGCCTAGCTTGGCTTCGGGGCCCCGCCAGCGCTTCCAGCCCTTCTTGCGGTTCCGGGCGCCCCGGCCGCCCACCCGCCGCGAGGGGAGCTGGCTGGGGTCACGCGAGTTGGCTCCGAAGCCCAGGAAGGAGGAAGAAGACGCGGCCGCCTGAGGTGCAGCGCCCGGCGCCGCCATCTTGCGCCACGAGAAAGAGAGCGCGGGGATGAGAGAGAAGCGGAAGAGGAGGGGAAAGAACGCCGCCCTCACGGAATAATAGGAAGAGGGAAGGCGGCTTCCGGCGGAGGGTGGCGCCATTTGCGTGGAGGAGGTGGAAGGTCGCCCCTCATTAAACCACAAAGAGGCAGGGGAAAGCATAAAATAGAATATAGAATGGAAAAATAGAAGAGAATATGGAATGGAATAGGAATAGAGAATACAATATAGAATGGAATAGAAAATAGAATAGAATTAAAAATGGAAATAGAAATAAAATAGAATATAGAATAGAAAATAGAATAGAATTTAGAATTTAAATAGAAAATAGAATGGAATGGAATAGAATAAGAATAGAACAGAAAATAGAATAGAATTTAGCATTTAAATAGGATAGAATAGAAAATAGAATAGAAATAGAATGGAATGGAATAGAATAAGAATAGAATTTAGAATTTAAATAGAAAATAGAATAAGAATAGAATAGAACAGAAAATAGAATAGAATTTAGAATAGAATTTAGCATTTAAATAGGATAGAATAGAAAATAGAATAGAAATAGAATGGGATGGAATGGAATAAGAATAGAATAGAATAAGAATCGATTAGAATTTAAAATTTAAATAGAAAATAGAATAGAATTTAGAATTTAAATAGAAAATAGAATAGAATGGACTAGAATAGAATAAGAATAGAATAGAACAGAAAATAGAATGGAATAGAATTTAGAATAGAATTTAGCATTTAAATAGAATAGAATAGAAAATAGAATAGAATAGAAATAGAATGGGATGGAATGGAATAAGAATAGAATAAGAATAGAATAGAATTTAGAATTTAAATTCAAAATAGAATAGAATTTAGAATTTAAATAGAAAATAGAATAGAATGTTATAGAATAGAACAGAAAATAGAATATAATAGAATAGAGTTTAGAAATAGGATTTAGAATTTAAATAGAATAGAAAATAGAATAGAAATAGAATGGAATGGAATAAGAATAGAATAGAATGTGGGATGGGGTGGGAGACACTTTCTGAATCTAATCCTTGACACAGAAACCTGGAACATGAAAAGGGTTTTTGTCTCCTCGCTCTGGACATTTGGATGCCCAGAATAGACACTCACACTCCGGGGTGTGGGTGGGTGTGATCATTAATTCCGTGTATGGCCACTAGGGGGCAGGCTGGTCTCAGGGCTCTGGCGGTGCAGTGGGTGGGGAGCTGGGTGTGGCTGGGAAGGCAGGGAAAATATTTGTCTGTTTTCTCAGTTGGCAGAGGAGGGGGGGGCTCGGGGTGTGTGTCTTTCCTATGAGTCAGTCGGTCCCACTTGGTTGAGTCGACAGTCATCTCGGCACCCTCCCAAAATCAATCCATAAATGCATAAATAAATAAATACAAATGGCCTTTTTTTATAGGCCTTGAGAAGCTGGAGGAGGCTGCGGGCGGAGGGGGGGGGGGCTTCCCAACAAACTTTTAGGGAAAAGCAGAAGCTTTGCACCCACGTCCTCTGGGAGGGAGAGACTGATGTGGGATTGAAAATGGGGGGAGCCACAGTAGGGGGCGCACAAAAAGGTGGGGAAGACTCAGGGTTAGGCAGGCAGTTGTGGGTCCCACCGAGAGCCACAAGACGGGCAGCTGTTTCATATTGTGCTGGCTGAGGCGGTTTGGGACGCTGAAGTTCAAACATCAGAAAGTTGCCAAGATTGAGAAATGCTGGTCTAGACTTTTCCTTCCTTCCTTCCTTCCTTCCTTCCTTCCTTCCTTCCTTCCTTCCTTCCTTCCTTCCTTCCTTC